CGGGAATGAAATAGAATCCTTGCCTCACACCATTAAAAAATTTTTTTCAAAATGAATTAACGGCCTAACTATACCAACTAAAACTATACCATTCTGAGAAGAACAAGCAGGAGCCAGACTGCCTTCCAACAACAGGTGATCTAATACGATTAACAAAAGCACAAGGAGCAAAAGATAAACTTTTGTTCCTCAAGAGACTTTCCCAAAAAACATGAAAAGACTAAGCTGATTCCCGGTCCTCCTTAAAGACCCCAGACCCTATTCCCACTGATAGCCAGGCACCGTCTACTTTCTTCACCGCACTTTGCTGAAGTGCCCTTATCTTCAGTGATCATCTCAGGAAGGTGAGTATCGAGCAGGACCATGATATAAGAACCATCTGTTCTTAAGTGGAGCTAGGATCTAGTGTAAGCCCAGAACTCATTCCTGGATCCATGTTTGGGTTTTTGGTTTTTAATCTGCGGGATTTGGAGTTAACACATATGCCATTGTACAATTGCTTCCACAATCAGTCTCCAAACATACGTTTCCTTCCTGGGCTTCTTGACATCATCTGTTCTTATTCTCCCCACACCCCTCTATCTCCCCCCTACCCACAAACCCTTGTTATGTTTCCTTTCTTTACAGGCTCAATGTCCCTGGGTTTCACTTACTGAAAATGGAGAATCACATTAAACAGCTTCAAGAGGGTGAGCCCCAATGGAGGCACCCCTCTGAGATACCCCCTAATGTACACAAGCATAAGCAAAATATAACAGAATAGTCAACACAGGTTTGCCTGAATAATACGTCCCTTAACACAAATGATCCAAAGATGACAGTTAGAAAATTTAAATATGGTGAAGAGAAGGTATCTGAGCTAAAATTATGAACCCCCAATTTGCAGAAGGCTATGGAGGGCAGTGGGAGCCAAAACCCACCTACAGAGTGTCCAGTCAGACCGAGCCAGTGGCAGGTCCGCTCAGCCTTACTATCGGCAGAGACCACTGTCATCTTGATTCTGCTGGATCGAACTCGGCACTTGGCCAGGTGACCTCCCTACAGACACGACCTGGACGTGTTCTGAGTGCAAGCATCTCTCAGTGGTTCCAGGACAGAAATCTCTTCCCTGGCTTTTTGAACGTCATGGGGGTCTTCTCCCTCTCACGCATTATTTGTATTTTCGTCTTCATACTAATATGATCTTAACCTTACCTTACCTTAGGGAGATTTGTTTTTTTCTTCTGCTGGGTTTCCCAGCTGTGAAGCACAGGAGGCGTGGAGGTATAATGATCATAACTGATACAAGGTGTTACAGGGAATGGAGGGGTGGAAGGTGGGCGATACAGAGGGAAGGGGGATTTCGGGAATACATAACAAAGGCAGGAGTGACCATGATTGCACAACTCATTTAAAGGTGATTTAAATATGGGGGGCATGGGGAGAGAATAGATGTGGTGCTGATTGTACAACTCCCCTTGATATAACTGAACAATTGAACTATTCAATTGTATGATATGCAAATTATGTGCCAATAAAACTGTTGGTGGGGGAGGGGGAAGCTTGGAAGGCCCCCCAAAAAACCCAATGTTATCTAGCATTCCACATTCTCTTCTGAATGTGACTTGAATTTCTTTCGCTGTCCTGCTGCAACCACTGTTCCATGATTATTAACAAAAATGTACTTGCATGTGCACAAATTACATTTTTATAATTTCCACCAAAAAAAAACACGTGGGAAGACCAGCTACCAACTGAGAAAATCCAGGTATGACCTCACTTTCTGGCACTGCACTTTACTGTGCTTCACAGACCGTGTGCTTTCTACAACCCTGTGTCGCGCAACTCTTTCTATGTCATTCGTCCAATGTAGGTGCTCCCTTTGTCTCTGTGAAACCTTTTGGTAATTCTCACAACATTTCCAAATTTTTCATAAGACTAGTGCACACTGACAAAACGACAGTATAAACAAAGCTTTTTTATGTGCACAGAGAAACCCAAAGATTCATGAGACCCACCTTCTTGCAGTGGTCTGCAGCTAAGCCCACAGTACCTCCAAGGGATGCTCCCACACTCCGAAACCATACAAACCACTAAGAATATAATGACCAAAATATGGAAGAGGCATCGGGCACAGCAAAAGACAAACCAATCAGAAAAGGAGCAAAGGGACTTGATATTTCACCAAAGAGGAGATTCACATGCCACCAGACAGGTGGAAAGATGCTCAGCATCATTAGTCACCAGAGACATAAAACAAAACCACAATTATCACTGTAGTTCCAAAAGGATGATTTTTTTTAATGTATGTCTATCTAGATAAGATAGGTGGGATGAACAATCCGTAGACAAAAACAACGGGACTGATGGCTCTGGGGGGACACAGGAGAAGGGGAGTTTGGAGAAAGGAAAGAGGGGGATGTCAACAAACCCAAGGACAAGGGAACAACAAGTGAACTAAAATCAATGGAGAGAGGGGTGTAAGAGGCCTAGTGGGACATAATCAAGGGCAATGTAACAGCAAGGAATTACTAAACTCGAGTGAAGGCTGAACATGATAGTGGGACAAGAGGAAAGTAAAAGGAAATAGAGGGAAAAAACTAGGAGGCAAAGGACATATAGAGAGGTCTAAATACAGGCATATACATATGTAAATATATTTATATATAATGAGAGGGGAATAGAACTATGTACTCATATCTATATATTAAGAATTAAGGTTGCAGATGAACATTGGGCCTCGACTCAGGTACTATCTTAACACAAGGACACTTTTGTTCTAATAACCCAGCATTCGATGATGGTCACCTTCCTGATACGATCCCCGAAGACAAAAGTGGGTGCATAAGCAAATGTGGTGAAGAAAGCTGATGGTGCCTGGCTATAAAAAGATATAGTGTCTGGTGTCTGAAAGGCTTAAAGATAAACAAGCAGCCATCTAGCTGAGAAGCAACAAAGCCCACGTGGAAGAAGCACACCAGCTTGTGTGATCATGAGGTGTCGATGGGATCCAGGTATCAGGCATCTAAGACCCAGAGTGGGACCCAAACCCCATCTGTAGGCAACTGGACATCCCCTTCCAGAAAAGTCACAGGGAAGAGATGAGCCAGTCAAGGTGCAGTATAGCACCGATGAAACATACAACTTTCCTCTAGTGCTTTAATGATTCCTCCCCCCAATATCATGACCTCAACTCTACCTTACAAATCAGACTAGACCAGAAAATGTACACTGCTACAGATAAGACCCCACAACACAGGGAATCCAGGATAGATAAATCCCTCAGGGCCAACGATGAGAATAGAGATACCAGGAGGATAGGGGGAAGGTGGGGGAAAAGTGGGGAATCAAGCACTAGGATCAACATATAACCCTGTCCCAGGAAGACGAACAACAGAAAAGTGGGTGAAGGGCTACAGAAGACGATGTAAGATATGAAAATAATAATCTATAAATTATCAAGGGTTCATGAGGGAGGGAGGCCGGGGGAGGGAAGGGAAAAAAAATGAGGAGTTGATACCAAGGGTTCAAGTAAAAAGAAACTTTTTAAAAAGATGAGAACAACATATGTACATATGTGTTTGACACAATGGATGTATGTATAGATGGGATTAGAGCTGTAAGAACCCCCAATAAAATAAAAAAACTAATGTTCTGCTCTGTAAACCTTCACTCAATTGACAATAATTTTTATTAAATAAAAATGCAATGCAGATAGCCTACCAGAAAAAGAAAAAAAGAAAATGCTTTGAAAATGATGATGGCAACATATGTGAAAATGTGCTTGACACAATGGAGGAATGTATGGATTGTGATGAGATGTAAAAACCCCCAATAAAAGTATTTAATTAAAAAAACATTTTTAAGCCCAGCACATAGCAAATGTTGTAAGGATTTTGGGAAATTGGAAATAAGCTGCAGCCACCCCGGAAAGTAGTGTAGTGGTTCCCTAAACAACCAAAAGTAGAATGACTATAAGGTCCAGAAATTCCACTGGTAATTAACTAAGGACCTGAAGGCAGAGACTCATTCAAATAGGGATTTGCACATCAATATTCATTGCACACTATCCACAATATCAACAAGTGGAAACAACGTCGATGACCACCCACAGGCGAAACGGATAAACAAAATGTGGTACAGATATACCCCTCAGGATCTATGAAATCTTGATTCATAGCGGAGCTTTTAGAGAGTATGCTGAGGAAAATAAGCTAATCACAAAAGACGATAGGACTTCTCTTGTGTAAAAACACAAGAGAAAGCGAATTCATAGAAACCAAAGTTTACAGTGTTTACCTAGGGCAGGAGGGCAGGAAAAATTAAAAGTTAATGATCACAGTTCATTACTGTAAATGCCTTCAATGAGCTGTATGTCTGTAAAAAGTTGAAGGGGGAAAAGCTGTGTGATGTATTATGACAACCAAGAAATAAATATGTAAATCAGAGAGTAGCTGCCGAGGCTGCTTCTCTACAACCGAAGTCCCCGTGGGCTCTGGCTCCTTGGTGGGAGTTTAGGTCACGGTTTCATGGGACAGCTCTGTCAAATAACCTAACAGCATTTTTCTGTTTTACATCCTAATTCTTTGGGTAGTACCTGGAACCTTAAAAGCTTGCAAGGATTAGGGAGCTGATATCAGGGGCTCAAGTAGGAAGAGAATGATGATGGCGGCATATGTGCAAATGTGCCTGACACACTGGAGGAATGTATGGATTGTGATAAGAGATATAAGAGCCCCCAATAAAACTATTTAAAAAAGAAGAAGAAGAAGAAGACTACACAGCTTGGAAAAAAAATAAATACATTTTGTAAAGTTTTAAAAATTGTATAAAAGTAGCATTAATTACACTGTCAAAGGCAACATTAAAAAAAATATATCTATAAGGTTAATAATTTTGTTACTATTGTTAAATGGGGTCCTCATAAAAATTGTTTTAAAGGTATAAATGCAACTATTTGTAATTATGTAAACAATGCTATTTAAAATTATATAGAATCTGGGAATAGCAATACCAAAAGGGTAGGGGGAAGGAGGGGAGAGGTGGGGAGGAAGGGGTTACCGGTCACAATGAATGGCACATAGCCACACACACCCCTCCAAGGGAAGAACAACAGAAACAGAGGGAAAGGGAGACAGAGGTAGGTGTGAGATATGAAAATAATAACAATCTATAATCTATCAAGGGACCACGAGGGCAGGAGGGGGAGGGAAAAATAAGGAGCTGATCCCAAGGGCTCAATAGAAAGTAAACATCTAGAAAACAATAAAGGCAACATATGTTACAAATATGCCCGATGCAATCGATGTATGGATTGTAACATGAGTTGTGAGAGTCCCCAATAAAGTGATCTTAAAAAATACATAAATAAATAACTTGCAAAGGGAGAATGGGGAGCTGATCGCATTGATGACTGTGTAACCCCACTCAATGGGATTGAACAGCAGAATTGTATGTGAAAGGATATATTGGATTGTGTTAGATATGACACCAAAAAAAAACTGTTGGAGAAAAAGAAATAAGGGTTCCTGGCGGGTATGGTGGGTGAGGAGCGAGAGGATAGTAGGGAGCTGACATCAAGGAGTTTAAGAAGAGAGAAATCGTTTTGAAACTGATTGTGGCAGCAACACTGCTTAGTATGATTGCACTATGGAATGTTATGGCAGCTGTGAAAGCCCCCATAAAATGATTTAAAACCAAAAAATGCTTTCAAGCAGCCACCCAAGGAGCACTCATCCCGAGTCACCTGGAACAACAGGGAAAGGAGGGTCAGAAAGAGGAGGGAGTTGTGAGATGCATGGCTAACTGCCTCTATGAATAACCGCCTTTTCCCATAAGGCCAGGAGAACTAGAGGGTTCCCAACTACTATAAGGGAACATTTTGATCAAAAGGGGAAATCCTGACCAAAAGGGAGGAAATGTAGAACAGAATTCCAAATTCTCCTGGATGCTAAGCATTTGGGAACCAGGGAGGGAAAATAAACCCCTGAAAGTATTGCCTATGATAATTTATAAAATTTAAACCAAAAATATCTCAAGGTCTTCTTAAATTATACAATAGTTTATCTTAAGTTGGAGGAGGCAGAAAAGAGCCTGCCTTGAATGGGATGCTTTCGTAAGATCTATCTGTATGGGATCCGAACGACAATGGCAACTTGAACGACTGGACCGGAACCTTGGAGAGTCCATGCTGACGAGGGAAGAACAACTATGAACGGAGAGTGGGACTATTGGCCCAACCTGAAGAAAGCCGCCAGCTTCACTAAATGGAGCATGTGGAACCTGTGGACTTGGTATACGGTTTGCTGCTTATATTCTCAATAACAAAATAAATAACATTTCAAGGGGAAAAAATGACAGTATATGTTAAGTGGAAGACTGGAGAGGGACACGGGAACGTAGTTTAGTATTGCTACACCCGAGGTGTGTTTTCATTTTCCCCCTGGTGTTGCCCCGCCCGGACTTGCAGGCTTTGAGCCCAGAAGTGAACACGGGGTACAGACAGAAAGAGCTCCCATAGAAGCCCTCTATTTCTGGTCTGAGCAATGGGAAAGGCGCCCCAATGCCATCTACACATTAGCTTCTTGAAGGACACTGTCGCCAGCCATCAAAAGGTAGGAGCTAAAACTTAAACCTCTCTTTAGTGCCCCTCAAATGGGTCTTTGTCCAGTATGACGCGCTCCCTTACACCTGTAAGAAAAGAGACAGAGATACAGGCGCACGCGCGAACACACACGACAGACAGACAGACAGAAGGCCGTGTGGTGATGACAGAGGCAAAGACTAGAGGGATGCAAAGATTCCCAGGCTGCCAGCCAGCAACACGAGGTCAGAGACAAACATGGCTAAGACATCCCCCTCACCCACAGCCTTCGAAGCACGTGGCCTTGCTAACCACCTTGATCTCACACTTCTAACCTCCAGACCTGGGAGAGAATCAATTCTATTGCTAGAAGCACCCCCAATTTGAGGTACTGTTCCAGCAGCTCTAGGAAATGAAGACCCCCCTCCAAAATCCCTGTGGCTGGAAGTCTCCTGACTTCTCGTCTTACTCACGCTGCAAGTGCAGCGGATGCGGGCAAGAAAGCTAAGTTCACTGGCACCACGGAGGACCCAGGCTGCCAGCAAGTCTATCTCAACGCTGTCTGCCCGATGATCTCATCGGGGGTACGAAATGCGGCAAAATCACTCCCCGGGGCTCTAAACATTTCCAGCCCGAATGAGCACACATGACTAATGTTCGCATATGACCTATGCCAAAGCAAGGCACACGCCTGGAAGGCAGGGAGCCACTGTTTATGTGAGGAGAACTGATGATTCCCACACTAAATCACGCACTAAACAAAAAAGCAACACCAAAAACACAAAAGTGTCATGACGAAGCTCTTCCCCGAAACCCTAACAAGTGTTCGGTTTCCTGGTGTTATAAAAGCCTGGGACCGCCCGTCCTCGGCTGCTGGATGAGGAGGGTCGTGGATGACTTGGGGGGACACTGAACTTGACAAGCTGCAGCAATGGCCCAGGCGCGCAGCACACTGCTCTTATTACCTGAAGCTGGAATCCTCGGCACTGGTGGAGTCCCGGTCTTTTCTAGTGAAAGCATCCTTCCAAAATGAATGCTGGAGCAGGCCGGGCCACGACAATCTTTACAAAACACAACCGATAAAGCGGTCTTAACGTGACTGGTCATGGAGAAGCCCCACGACATGGCCCCAGTGTGTGCTCTGCAGTATCCTATCTCCTCATCTCAACATCTCTCCACATAAAGAACGGGTTTGCTTCTCAAAAAGGGTGCTGGGAACGGGAATGGGAAATTCTACTGCAACGTAACAGATACTAGCGATCTTTGTTCCAAAGACAGGCCAGCGTCTGATTCTGCTAACCCCGGCTGTTTGACACATTTCCCCTGAGCAGCTTCCTGTGTACAACTTCATGCAGACTCAAGAATAATTAGCCTCGTGCCCGCATACAAGTCACACCTGCGTTTGGAGGTTAAACTCATGTGACCTGCGCTAGCTCGTGTACATTAAAATGACATTGCGTTGCATCCAAAACCCAGATTTATTTGCAAAACATTAACTTTTGCTACTAATAGAATGCACCTATAGTCACATGCATCAGGGTGGGAACCTGAGTGAATTTTTAATACAAAAGTTATTTGACCACTTGATTAGAATTGTCTGCATTGGAATAAAACCTCAGATCAAAATTAAAGCATGGCTGATCAAAGAGGAAGAATTAGCAACCACATAGACTAACCCCCTTTTACACAAAGGCTCACACAATTCACTGCAATAAACAGAAACCGTCAATACGTGAGATTGGTTTTTTTCCCATTGAACATTTTGACAGAAATTTAAGAGTTCAAAAGGAAGCCCCCTTCCAGTGAAGGTGGCAAGAGTGAGCCGTGATCACTCCTCCCTAGAATGTCCCCCTTTGCCATGCCTCTGACCCAGCCATCTCGCTTTCAGAAACTTCTCGGAAGGAGCTCATTTGGACAATGAACAACAAAAGCCCACAAAAGGCTATTTACTGCAGATTTACTGTACACCGAATCAGCCCATCTTCTGAATGTTCACTGTTAGAGATTATTCCATGTACATTTTCAGTTAGCTAGCCTGACTAAGCAGGTCTTTATTAATATGGAAAGTGTCCCCTAACAGCACAAGTGAAGAAGGCAGGTGCGGAGTGGCCCCAATGTGTGTCTTATCCTGTCACTAGATAACCACATTTTCATCTTTAGTGCACCATTTTAAACAATAATATTAAAATATTCCATTTATCGTTATTACAGTCTCTTGAAATAGCACCCTGAGTTCAACAGTCTAAAACAGTTTATTTGGGCTTCACACAAACATGTCACCCTCCAAACTTTCTCATGATTTAAAAAACACCTGCAAGCAGAGAGTACCAAACATTCTTCAATCTAAAGTCACGCTTTCAAAGGAATACTTTTAACAGCTCCTTTGTATTAAGAAGAGCACTGCTTTAGAAAACACAAGGAACATCTTTTAATTCTACTATTCATTCACACTAAAATATTGCCCATACCTTTTCTGAGGATCTTTTTGAAGTAAACCTTCCAGCAAATTAATAAAGTCTGGAGAAGCTTTAGGAAGAGAAGAATCTATATGCAAAGTAATTTCCACAAAGGAAAGAAAAAACAGCAGTAAGTAGATGCATACGTAGCCACGAATATAAGACCCTAGATCGACATGTAGAGTAAAAGTCTTTTAAGTTCATAAATTGGTATTTAAGAGAACCCTGAATCCACAGATAATAATTAGCCTGCATTTAACACAAGGTAGAGGGGAAGGGCCAAAGAGTGTTTCTAAAACATTTTCCCCTAGACCACAAAAAAACCATGCATCTCAACAACTATGTCTCCATTCACTTTCTCATTGCTGAGTAACCTCAGGAGGGGTCAGCAGGTTGACAAACCCCTAACTCTTGCCTTCAACGAGGGACATGGGCGCCTCCTCTGAATGAGGCATCGTGGACATTGCCAGCTTTGCCTTATCATGCACCCTCGTTAAAAGGCTGGCAATCCCTCTTCTCTCTATGTGGAAGGCCTTTGAAATCGGGAACTCATGAAAATCACAGTATGGTGATTTTGTAGAATCCCATTAAGTCTCCAAAGGACTTGTCTTTCTGGACACACACCACAGCCCGCTCGCTGGTCTACGACGAAAAGTGTCCTGGAAGAAACTGGCCAAAGGCATGGCCATGCCTCCTGGAGACAAAGCAGGTGGTGCGTACGGGCACTTTCCCCCTCTCCTGAAGGGGAAGGTGCCCTCATGAAATACTGTATATGCTCAAGTACAAGCCGACCCGAATATCCACCGAGGCACCTAATTTTACCACAAAAACTGCATTAAAAATGTGCTGGAAAACTTGGCTTATCCTCGAGTGTATACAGCGAGCATGGGGACCCGGTGATAGCTTGACTGGGTTCCTATTGAACACTTTCATTTTCAGATTTCTCTTCCTTATAAAATAAGTCTGTAAGTCTTCAGCTTTAAGGAGAAAACAATGAGACCAATATTGTGACTTTACAAAACAAACAAAACATAACGATGGGTTAGGAATGATTGAGTTTTACAATAAATAAGGTAAGGTTAGTGGGGAGGGGTGAGGCAATGTGGTTCCATGACACGTTCAGAAAGGTACACAAAATATCAAGCATCAGGTTTTCTTTTGCACCTAAGTAAGTTTGGAAAGAATGAAAGTATCTGATAATCCTATTTTCTCCAGTAACTGCCTGCAAAATGGCTTTCTTGTAGAAACTCAAAGCACTAATTTCTATAGAAGCCTGTTCCCTTTTGCGTCTCAAGATTCGCTCATTTTGTGCTGAACAGAAAATGCTTCCTTATATTATGGTTGTGCCTTCTTTTGCTTCTCTTCCCTTAAAAATATCAATAGGCGATAATTAATAATTAAGACTAGCTACAATACCTTTAAAATACAACTATCTCTAGTACAAACGATGTTTAAAACATGTTACCATCAAGGTACTAAACTGAAGTCTGAAAGGCCCGCTTTGTCTCTCCAAACCCTGGGCAGAAACACTGGGCAAGACAGACTCACAAGTAAGTCATACACACACATACACAAAAATCACACATACAGATGTGAGTGTCTCAAATCTACTCAACCGGACTTCCTGTGGTAAAACAGCACAAAATAGCTTGTACTTTTAAATGAGGGAAACAATTAGTAGTGCTTTATTTTCCATGTTGTTTCATTAAAAAGGGGCAGGGGGGGGGGGCAGAAAATTCATGGCCACGGAGTCTAGGCCATCTCCTAGCCACCCTGTGGGACAGGGTAGAATTACCCTGAGAGTTTCCAAGACTGCGAATCTGATGGGAGCAGAGAGCCTCCTCTTTCTCCCACAGAAAAGCTGGTGGTTTCAAACAGCCAACCTTGCAGTGAGCAGCCCAACGTTTAACCCACCACACCAGCAATCTTTATTTTCTAAAATCATCAACTTGAGATCAGTTGTAAAATGTAACTTTGGGGAGCTATGACTCAACTTTTAAAAAGAGAATAAAGATATAAACAGTGTAAAATATAAATTAACTTCTTATCACAAGGTAACTTACCTTTTGGAGCAGGTGGTGAAGGATCTTGACGTAAAATCTGTTCAACTGATCCTGAAAAATGTTCTGAGAAAAATGGAGGCTTCCCTAAAAGAACATGAAAACATGCAACATTAACACTCGCTTGCTGCCACCAGCAAGCCTAAACTAACCTCAATCACAGGCATTCCAGGATTTCATAACGTACAGATAATACATGAGTGTAAATGTATGCACATTAATGCTGAATGCTCATATGTACCAGGCACACTGCCCGTATCTCTTTATAATTCAACAGTTATCAGCCCAGCAAATATACAAAAATCACTACTATTGATAACATGACTGCAAGCGCTACTTGGGCCATTCAGCACAGGTCAATTTACAGTCACCAAGTACCTTCACAAGGATTTCTATAAATAATCACAATTTAATACAAGGGGGAGGGGGCTTTAAAAAGTTTGTGGGAAAAATGTAATAAAAGACAATGCAATCTTTCCATGAACTTTTTGAAGCCCCTCATAGGTAGGTACCGTTCCACATTTCAGAGGAGCATCATGAGAAGTGCCTGCATGTTAACAAATTCCTAGGAACCTGCATATGACCAGGAACCAGGAAATTCAGCCAAATCACGGCATATCAAGATTTAGTCAAACAAGCTTTTGTACATCTGATAGGGGAGGTGTTTGCAGCGGATGCCAGGTGTAACCTGTTTGTGGGTCTGGTGTTTAAGTCTAGCTCTGATTTTAACAGGACCAGGAAGCAGTCACCTGAAAACATTTCATAAAGCAGACAGCCCAAAGACCAGAGGTCACTGGTGATGGAGAAGTCGGCGCCCCTCAGGACTTCCGGTGCCGTATACACCAGACATCCTGCAACAAAGTAGACAGAACACTGTCATTACGCATTCGTCCTGCCCCAGGTCCAACCTACCTGGGAGAGACAGGTGAGATGGAAAATAAGGGAAGCAAATCGCACACAGGAAGGACAGTGTATGGGTGCTTCACATTCGGAAATGTTTCAAACTTGAAGGAGCATTTTGAAAGGGCACATATAGCAATATAAACGGATGTTGAAAATACACATTAAAGAGAAGCATGGTACATGTAGGTAGTTGGTTCAATAACTTCAATCAAACCAAAAACCCAATGTGGGAAAAGGTATAATGCTATTTTCACTTCTTGTGGCCTCTGAAATTTTGTAATCCCAGGGGCTGGATGGACCCTGAAAGATAACTGAATTATACCGTGAAGTCTTAAAAACCAAACAACAGCAGAATTTCACCAGTACAAAAGCCTGCTCTGTGCATCACGCTCTTTTAAAAACTAAGTAGGAAGCGCCCACCCCCACCCCCCACGAGGGGAAGGCACGACAGAAACGTGGGTGAAGGGAGACGGCAGATGGTGTGAGACAAGGAAACAATCATAAGTTATCGTTTATTAAGGGCTCACGAGGGAGCGGGTGCAGAGAGGGGGGAAGAGGAGCTGATACCAAGAACTCAAGTAGAAAGAAAATGCTTTGAAAAGGATGATGGCAACCTATATACAAATGTGCTTGACACAGTGAATGGGCGGATTGCGATGAGAGCTGTAAGAGCTCCCAATCAAACGATTAATTTAAAAAAGAAAGGAAGAAGCCCGGCTAAGATGAGGCCAGACTGACTACAGCGACGCAGGCGATGGGCCTGGAGACTGGGGACCAGTGAGCTTACAGGGACGAGGAGAATCGACTGAAAAGCAGCCGGGCAAGGACGGTGGGGCCATGTGATGCCCGGAATCGATGTGCTGAGTGGCACACAGGCAGATGGTAGAACCGGTGGCACGAGTCGCTATGCCCCTTCAACACAATCACATCAATCTACTTCCAACTCTCCGTGACAGGACAGGGCAGAGAAAAACTGCCCCATACAGTCTTCCCAGGCCGTAATCCTTTACACCCAAAAAAAACCAGACTGCCACAACTCTTTTTCCCAAGATCTGGTTCGTGGGTCAGAACTGCTGACCTCACAGTTGACCTGACAGTTGACCACTTAACCACTGTGCCCACCAGGGTTCCTTGGCAATTTCTAAAGTCAAGAACAAAGAGCCTGCAGTTTATACCACTACTATCTGGATGGGCTGGGTTGGGCAGTTGGAAATAACTCCCAAAACCTGGCTGGCCTCCGAACAAAGGCTTACTTACTGCTTTCACGACATGCCCACTATGAGTCAGCTGAGGGGCTCCGCTCCTCACGGTCCCTCAAAGGCCCAGGCCGAGAGAGGCTCCCACTCACCACCTGCTTCCTCAGGCACCACGGCCGGGAAACAAATGTAGCCAGGTGTGCCGGTTCTTCAACTCCCCACCCCACACCGACACCCGTGACTGCGCCTCACTCATCATTGGCTTTGACCGGGAGGAAGATGTAAGCTTAAATGATCACCATATGTAGAACAGGAACTATCTAGGGACCAGCAAGTGTCTAGGAGGTAGAGGGGGCAGTGGGGGTGGTTGTAGATGCCATCTGGGGGTCCCAACAGCTATAGGGTGCACCGTGCCGCATGCACAAGAGCACGAAACAGCGCCTGGTCCTGTGCCACCCTCACAAAGGTTCAGAAGCCTGAGCCCACTGCGGCAGCCACTGCGTTGGGGACCTTCTCCTTTTTCACTGCCCCTCTCCTTTACCAAACATGCTGTCCTTCTCCAGGGCCTGGTCTCTCCTGACAGCATGTCCAAAGGATGTTAGAAGTCTTGCCTCTAAAGAGCACTCCAGCCGGACTTCTTCTAAGATCAGTTGATCCTGTTAACAGCCCGTGGTACTTTCAGTATTCTTCCCCAGCACCATAATTCAAATGCATAGATTCTTCTTCTGTCTTCCTTAGTCAGTGCCCCACTTTCACATGCAGATGAGGCAATGGAAAATCACATGGCTTGGGTCGAGTGAACTTTAGACCGCAAAGTAACATCAGTGCTTTGCAATACTCCAAAAAGGTCTTGTTCAGCAGATTCACCTAATGCAATGTGACACTGGATCTCTTGACTGCTGTTTCCATGCACACTGATTATGGATCCAAGTAATACAAAATACTTGACAACATCAATCTTTTCTGCCTAAATGTCTCCCAGAAAGGATGTTGTTTATCTACAAAGCAAGTAACCACCAATGACTTTTTGTTTTTAATTCTACGGAGAGAAAATTTCCAGCAGTTTTTCCTCAGGGTACCACTGTGACTAGACAAGGAGCATCGTGTGTCCAGGTACACAGTGTAAGAGCTCTCTTTTGTAATGGACACTCATTCATTCTATGAATACCTGCCCACACTTGGCTAATATGTTAGAGACAGAGAGAAGATCCACTAGATGGCCAAGTAGCTGCCCACCACTTAATAGGCCTCCCCAATAGAAATATAAGCAATATAATTTAATTACATAAAGATATAATTAAAGATGAGATCACATGGGCCCGAAATTCAATGATTCTTGTTCTTCTTAGAGACAGACAAATGCAAAGGGGGGAAGCTACACAAAGACAGAGGCCGGGATCAGAGCAGCCCTCTCCAAGCCAAGGGTCAATGACTGATGTGTGCACAGACCATGAAGGTAATAGAAGAAAGGAGAAAGACCTATGTAAGTACTCGGTCCAGTGGAATTCGGCCAAGCAGGCCGAGGAAGACCGAAGGCTTCCTTGAGGAGAGCTGAGCCCGGGAAAAACAAAGGGAAGGGGACTTCCGGAGAAGGGAGAGCAAGGTCAGCCACCGTCCGACACACACAGGACAATGGGGACACAGTGTGCTGTTGGAACACAGACACTGGGTGGGAGAGTGGGGGGGTCAGGCCAGAGCCACAATATTCTGAGCCCTCTGAGGAGACAACACTGAAACAGGTTTCACAGTGCAAAGATTTTATCAAAGGAAATGCCCATGAGAAACCCTGGGGACAGGGGGGCGGGGCACTGGTCAGACCTCGGGGCAAGTTGGACCCCACAAGTGAAAGAGAGGGAAGGTTGGATCTAGACATGTTTGGGGTTCAGCAAGGTCATGGGGACTCATCCCCGGAACAGATCTGCCACACTCAGTCACTGGCTGGGGACAGCCCACGGGCAGCATGGCCTCAGTGCATATGCAGTGATGGGCAGAGTAGTCCTAGGTGGCGGCCTTGGGCAGACCACGGTGTCTGTAGCCACCACAAAGTGGGAGTGAGATCATTAAAGTTTATTGTGCCAAGCTGGCCAATAAACACTTGTGGGATCAATTGAAGGGAGGAGAGATAAATGACTCGGTGAGCCTCGCCTTTCGAGTTTTCAGGTCTCTTGCTTTGTGATGGTCGGACCAGGGTGCAGCTGCCTTGGCCAGTTCCCTGCTTCAGCTGGCAAGGATCACTTCCTGCATGACCTCCCTGAGGAGAAGCCACATGGACCTACCCTGATGCCAGCACTAAGATGCTTACATGCTCACTGATTTGGCTTTCCTCCTGAAGTCAGCATCATTACGTGTGTTTCGTGAGATGGAGGAGGACTTTGTGGATTGGTGTCAGACATATGGGCTAATGTTGGACTTGTGGGCTTGGGCAGCACTGGGTTGGGATGCTTCCTTAATGTGCACTTAACCTTTATATAAAACTCTGTCTTATACATATGAGTTTCTGTGGATTTGTTTCTCTAATATACCCAGACTAACACAGGGAGGCAGCTAAGGACCAGATCTGGACATCTACCCTCTCGCCTACTGGTGGTAGTGGGTCCTAAACCTGAAACTCATTTCACGGAACAGCCCCGGCTCCCAGCTCTTGTCAAATCAGCCCACATGAAGCCAAAAAAGGAGCCCGGTCTGGCCTACACCCCAAGACTCCTCTTCAACTGGGCCACTTCATTCCTTTACATGACTCGACTGGCCCTGCAGCTTGGGACCCCTGATCCAGCTCCACCCCTTACTTTTATTAGACAAGAGCAGATCAGGACTTTTAGAAGATAGGCGACAGTAGTCTCAAGGTCACACGGGCAGACGCGAAGCCAGGACTGGAACCTGGGTGTCCTGATTTGAAAGCTGTTGTTCTCTGAAATAGCACCACGGTGGTTTTCTCTCCTTCTCTTACTTCTCCAGTGTTTCAAGCAAGCACCAACACTGACAGTCTCGGCGATGACAGACCAACCTTCAGCCTCACCACAATGCCCAGCCATTCACGCATGCCAAGAGGCAAGGTGTCTAATGACTTCCTATTCCCTGCGCATCATCTAGACCGCCCTTAACCTGCACATTCTCAAAAACAGACCTAAGTCTGGAGAAACAGGAGCGGTCCCCACGTTTGCTGTGTGCCAACAGGAAGCGACAGAAGGACTTTGCCCGGCGGCTGGTAATGAGGGTGTCCTTCCAGGCCTGGCCGAAGAGGCTAACCTGCACCCTCCTGGGGGTCTTCTCAGAGCAAGGCTCAGACGTCACTCAGAGCAGGACTGGTGCTAGAACCACTGGCCTTGTTCTCCACAGCACAGAGGACTCCAGGGGCGTGCTTCCAATAAGCATTCCTTAACATGCTACTAAACGAGTCAATGAAAGATGCTTTCACAAAATGCAGGTCGGGAAGAGATTGGGGGACCCGCAAACCTTTCTTCATGTCCTGTACAGGGCTGGTCCTAAGAGATGAGTTACACAAAATAAGGTCATGTTTATGGTGCCCGCAGGTAACCTGCTCCTCCGTTCCGGCCCCATTCCTTGGACCCCAGGCATCACCTAACGACCAATTCCTCGCCGGCAGCGCCTTCCTCAACCGGCACCCAACCTAACCGTCAGCATCAGGGGTACCACAGAGCTTCAGCACAAGGAGCCTGAGGAGGAAACAGATCTTGATGCTGCCCCACAGAGGGCTGATTGTGAGAAAGACCATTTCAGAACGATTACTTCAACACCCTAGGTCTCAGCCCACTGTCAAAATGACCAGCCAAGAATGCCTCCCTGGAAATGCGCCTAATTGCAGGGTATTGGCTCCTCACTGCCGTTGGGCAATGTCTGCGACGCGAATGTGTGCCAGGCACTCCTCTGAGCACCGAGTGGACATCCGTACACAAGACGAAACCTCTGCTCGACGTTCTCATGAGCTCCGTGGCGTGGGAAGCCCAGAACAAGACACAGGCTTTGCTGGAGGGCGCCCTGCTTGCCAGTGCTGGAGCCACACAGACACCCTTAGGCCAGGGGCAGAGCCAACACCATACCCAGACCTGGCAGTCCCTGCTGTGGGTCATCTGCTACCCCAAATCCTGGAGATTCGAACTCACCCCACGGTGCCTCAGACGAAAGGCCCGCGGCTCTATTTCCAGACGCAGGGAGCACAGTTCGGTAGTCTTCACAGGACACACGGGGGCACCGGGAGATGCAATAAACTCCGTGTGTGTGTTATTCCGACTTCTCTTCGTCATTAGGGTTTTCAAGAAATTAGTCAATTCGCAAGACAAAAGATCGGCGTTATTGCCTAAGTATTGGCCCGGGCGAGCCACGGCTGGAGTGAGCCTCCCCTGAGGCCCCCAGTCCACCTACCTTTCAATCTGCTGTGCATACTCTTCTTCAGTCCGCTGTCCCCGCTGTCTCCGCCTCCCTCGTCTGCTGTCACCAAAGCAAAGAACTCTTCCAAATTTTCACCTTCCACCTTCGCCAAGCAGAAATTGCTGAATTTCAATGTGCCGGGCCCTTCCAATAGGATCTGTGAGGTTAGAAATGAGAGGTTCTCAGGGGTAAATTCCATTTGCATCCCCTTCAGGGTCCCTGAACGCAGGGGAGAATTATTTTAGCACTTGACTCTATTGCTTCCTCACAGGTCAGATAGCAGAATGCTTACAAATTGGTGAAGGTCAACAGGAAAATAGCTATTTTAGGAATCATAAAATCAAAATCAAAATGTCTATTCTAGGATGGGTCTAATGACTACATGATGTAACCACAGAAGAGCACCCTGGGCAAAGGTCAGCAAGCTTTTGAGACAGAAGAGCCAATCCTGTCTCATGCCACAATTTAAAAACTATTCAAGAACCATAAATATATTTTATAAACAAAGGAAATCAGCGTTATCAGAATTAATGCCCTTACGGTTTTTGCAGTTTTACTTTAGAGCCACATGTCATTTCCGGAGCCGCAGTTTGCCGACCCTGCCCTCGGCAGTAGGGGAAGAGAAGTGGACGGCTCTATAGCTGCCAAACTCAGAGAGCCAGAGGCGGCCTGGGAATCAATCTGCCTGAGGCTTTGTGTAATCAAGAGGGACAGTACAAGGAGAGGGCTTCAAAGAGTTCATGGAAAGAAAGAAACTGAAAGCTAACAGAATTTTTCCTTGAATTATTTTTGGAGCCCCCTCAAATAATGTAGGATGAAAGCCCGGGTTCAAAGTAGAGACCTGGATCCGAACCCCGGATCCACCGCTACCTAGCAGTCAGGTTCTCCCGAAGAACTTCCTAAGTCTCAATCTCTTCACCTACAAAATGAGCCGAATAATTCCTAACTCTCGAGACGGCTGTTGGATGGAGATCACAGCTGTAAAGGGCCGTTAGCCCTGATGAGCAGGCTCCTGCTAACAGAATTGGCGACCACAGCGAGCTGCTCTGTGCTGCCCCCGCACCAGGAACCACAGCGCTGGCTTCCGCGTTGGCCAGCAGAGTCATGGAAAAACTGCCTGGGCAGTGGCAGTAGGCTAGGTGGCCTTTTTTCTTAAAAGCAATTTCATGCTCCCCTTTCTAACCACAAACATCGCAGTGTGTCTGTCACTCTGCATCAGTGGCTTTGAGGCCTTTTTGAGCATGAGAATGCTCAAAAGGAACTACTTGTTAAAGCGTAGACAACCGGGCTTTAGAAAGCTTAGAGTGGGTTTCTTAATCAATATGAGGGCGTTTTCAAAGAAACTCGAGGGGGAAATTCCATGACCGTGTAATTCCATTTTCCCATGATGTTTGAAGCCCCTCATATGCCTGGCTTAGAGCCTGCACTCCTAATGAGCCCCAGGTACCGCTGGTGCTGTCTGGGGAACACACTTTGAGAACCACTGGCAGAGGTCAGAAGACCTTCTGGTAAAGGACCAGAGAGTAAATACTAGACTCTTCGGGGCTGTGTTAGAGTTGTCTAAGGGGCCTAATACAGTCCGACTACTCCACGCTGCCACAACCGCACAGCAGCAGCCAATGACAGCACAAATGAGTGGCCGTGCTGCGAGCCACAGGCGCAGGCACCGGCCCAGCCTCTGCTAACCCTTATTCTGGGAATGAACTACCGTAGACATCCAGCTAGACTGCCTCGATTACCAACAGCTGAGTTCAGTGCGGCTGGAAACCAAGACACCAAACCCGGGGCCCATGGGATTTCCAAGGCTGTAGTCTTTTTTTTTAAATTGATTGGAATTAATACCTAGATCAGATCATTCCATAGTTCAATCACATCCAGCAGACGTGTACATGTGCTACCACAATCGGTTTCCAAACATTCGTTTTCGGTATTCCGCTTGAGGCACGCAGACTGCCACATCTTTCTCCCACAGGGTTTGAGCTGCCGACACTGCAGTGAATCGAGGAGCACTTAACCGCTGTGCCACTAGGGCTCCTAACACTCTTTATACCCACTGCTGTCAAGGTGACCTGGCTCCGACCAACCCCCTAAGACAGAGCAGACTCGCCCACAGGCTTTCCTAGGTGGCCTCCCTCGCAGGCTGAGGGAGAAAGATGAGCCCCCAGACTCGGAAACCCAGAGGGTAGTTCGCCTCTGTCTTCGCAGGCCCCTGACAGGGTGCCTATGGATTGAAAGCCACTCCCTGGCAGTGCGCTTGGCTTGGGGTGGGTGGAATCTTTGCAGAAGCAGCCCCGGTGGCAGAGTGGGTGGCGCACGGAGCTGCTCACTTCCAGGTCGGTCCTTTGAACCCACCAGCCACTCCCCAGGAGACCTGAGGCTTTCTGCTCCTGGAAAGATCTACAACCTCCGGAACCCCTGGGGGGCAGTTCTACTCTGTCCTAGGGGGCTGCTGTGAGACAGAGTCGACCCCGTGGCAGGGAGGCTGATCTCTTGGTTTTAGAATCTTTGCAGAAGGCTCTTTCTCCCACAAAGCGGTTTGGGCGGCCGACCTTGCACATAGCAGCTGAGCACTGAACCACCACACCACCAGAGCTCTGAGACAACGCCAACCCAGCAAACCTGAGGCACTGCACCAACTCTGACTCACCACCTGCTTCTGTAGAACCGTGAGCTAAGAATGGATTTTACCTCCTGAATGGCTGCAAGGAAATGAATAGGAAAGTAACGCTTCTTTACGCGTAAAAACCTGACGCGTTTCAAATCCCGGCGTCTGTAAATAGAGATGTGCTGGAGCACGGCCACGGCGTGTTCACATGGCACCCACGGGTGCGTCCAGTATTCTGACGGTTACATGCTTTGGTTGCAACCAGATTCGGGAAGCCTCGGGTGTTGCTATCTGGCCCTTTGCAGGGCAAACGCACAGGCCACAGTGCTAAGGAAACGGCAAAGTCAACAATGGGATCAAGAGCGGCACAGAGCCACTGTCCTCGGAAGCTACGTTTGTTCAGTTTTCAGTTCGACCAAATGGAAAAGGGCTACCATTGCACGATCAACTTAAAGCAGACCCAGGTATGAACACGTCAAACAAGAACTTCCATTTATTAAGCAGGGTTTTCATAGAGCTTGGAGGGATGCAGTAATCTCACACAGTTGGCTTACAAATGTAAGCAGGCAAATGCTCAACGTCTCATGGCTTTGCACGTCCAAGGACAAAGGAAAAGAAATAAAATCTCACACCAGGAATCTTGCTAATATACGAACATAGAAAATTAATTGGCATCGCTGATTTGGAACACAAGAACTATCAGAAAGGATTCTACATCTGTCACCTTCATCCAGTGCTTAACTCTCACAACCACCCTGAAAACATCGCTGTCCGTTTCACAGACAAGAGAATTCAGGCACACCGCCTCTAAGAATCAGCTGTGACTGTGACTCAGGAACTAAACTGGTCTTCGTGATGCTGCTGCACTCATTTAGTCAGGGACAGTAACCCCCAAGAGAGGACGCGTGTGACCCGCGACATCAGGAATCATAGGACGTAGCCCGAGAACTGCCAATGACAACCTGAAACAGTGGTTCCTAATTGACTGTGTTCTGCATTGTATGCGCTAAGAGGATCCTATTTCATTGACCAAACTTTAGCAGCAAGAGAAATCAATGACTCAAGGAGTCCTGAAAGGGAGCCAAATAGGGTGCTCACACAGAGTACCACATAGTTTCACATTTCATGACGTCCACCACCACGACTTGACCTAAATGTCAATAGCCGCTTCGAGAAAGAACTATACATCGAGACATGAGCAAGTAGGAAAACCAAAAGTTTTCATCACTTACCTTCCCGGGAGAGATGTCGCAAAAAAGAATCCCAAGTTTATGAAGGTGATGTAATCCGGTAATCAAGTCAACCCCGAATTCCCTCACGACGTCTTCTGGGAGGTTTTCGTCTTGAGCAATAACCATTTCTAAGGATCCACCTGCAACGAGTTGATTCCCGGCGCCCCTTTCAGACCAGCAACAGCACCCCACGCCTCCTCCAGGTTCCCTGATGGCAGGCACTGAGCCCCGACACAGGAGCAGTCAGCACACCTGGCAGTCTGGCAGGAGACACGCCCCGGGGATGATCATGTAGGCCCAAACGCCACACACACACACACACACACACACACACACACACACGTCTCTGTCCAGGAGTGACACTGCTGGGTGAGGGTCAAGACCCACCGTGAAGGCGCCAACTCAGAAAACCCACCGCCCTCAAATGGATTCCGACTCACAGTGACCCCATAGGGCAGTGTCGGACTGCCCCATGAGTTTAGAAGAGGCGGGAGTAGAAAGTCTCATCTTTCTATGAAGAAGCCGACAGGGGGCTGGGCGGAGATTTCTCACTCCAGATCCCTCAGGAAATTAACAGCAGCCCCCCTAAAAGAGTGGGGGGTAGTGCTAACCCAAACCTGCACACAGAGAGCACCCTAGTCATGACTCGTGTGCCAAGTTAAATCAAGTTGTTGGTTCTCATGTTATCAGGTGAGAAACTGTTCCAACCATGGGCGTAATTTAGAGCTGAGCCGGTACAGCTGGTCAGAGGTCAGAAACAACTGCAGCAAAAAGCAATCCTGGGAAGGAATGTCGCTTGAAGGTGGCATCAGCTTGTCCATCTCATAAGTAATTCAACTATAACCCTCTCCTTCAGGTTGAGAAGGGGGCCCTGGTGACCCAGCAAGTTAAGGGTTGGGCTGTGTGGTAGTTACATCATCTGGTGTCAATTGGAGCCTTGAGAGGATTAAGAGTGAAGGGGTGGAGTCTAGTCTGCCAATCGGATTATAGCCAATGAGGCCTCTGGGTGGCCATGGCCTTCTCCTGAGAATTCTGGAAATTACTGAATTTCCTCCATGGAGGCAGGAGACATTTTCCTCTCTCGGCTCACTGCCTTGGAGACTCTACTGAAAAGGGTCACTCCCTGCAAGGCATCCCTAAGGAGAAGCCACATGGACCTACCCTGATGCAGCCAGAACTATGGACCTGGAGAAGCCATGGGGAGACCCACACCAGTGCTGAGATGCTTACAACGCCACTGGATCTACACAACTTCCCACCCACTGGCCTATGATCTTCCTGCATTTGGCATCACCGCATGTGTTCCGTGAGTCTGAAGAGGACTTTATAGACTGCTATCGGACATATGGGTTAATATTGGACTTAAGGACTTGATCTGGGCTGGGCTGTTTTCTTAAGGTACAGTAGCTCTTGTATATAAAGCTCTTTCTTCTACACATGTGAGTTGTCTATGAATTAGTTTCTCTAGTGTCCCTGGACTAACAGGCTGCTAACTGAAAGGTCAATGGTTCAAAGCCACCAGCTGCTCCATGGGAGTGCCATCATGCTGTCTGCTTACATAAAGAACCCTTCCCAAGCAGCTCCAGTCTGCCTGAGAACCTCCCTACGACTCAGAATCCACTCAATGGCAGTGAGTGGGGTTTGAAAATTAAGAAAAGCAAAACGCAAGTTTTAATCCAGATAACCTCTTTTATGATTAAATGTTATAATTGCTAAGGCAAGATGCATAAAGTTCACAATAATCATAATATAGTAATACTTAATGATCCTTTATTACCACTCAGTGTATAAACAGAATACCATTAATGATGGCACTTGTTACGATTTTTTTTCTATTAAGCTCTGAAGATACTGACATTAAATATGCGGACAATACCTACATATTGAAGCATAAATCTATCTCATATGGAGGGGTCTCAAAAAGTTCACTGAAAATGGAATGGAATTTAGCCCCCTCACAGAGTCCTCAAAGGTTTTTATCAATTGAGCCCTAAACATATGATCTCTAATTATTGCTGTGTGGTCGTATTTATATATGTCTTTTTAAAGTGCAAGCATCCTTTTTCATAAAAACAAAATGATGATAACTTTTTGTATTATAACCAAAAGAGCTGCTGTTATTGGTGAAGTGACTGGTGCTTTTCTGTACATTGGTTAACAAATTAGTAGCTAATGGGCTTAAAATGTCTGTTTCAATTTATTGGGGAAGAAGCCTGTTTGAAAAATTAAGCATCACTTAAAACGATTTCCAAATTTTTACGTGAGGATAATTACGTAGTATTTTATATCAAGGTAAACTCTAATGTGAATGTTACCTGCCTCCCCTCTTCCCAAACACCTTTTCTCTCTGCCTTTCTGAAATAGCCAACAAACCAAAAAAATGTCAAGCTACTTTAGTGAAGAATAACAGCCTTACAATATATCGGTAAAGGGAAACTCAAACAAAACCAAATGTACACCATCCGGTTTGGTTGGGTTTGGTTTTCAACACTGCATGAGCTGGCTACATTCACAAGTGCTGGCTGCACACGCTTACCTGTGCACAGTTCCACGACTAGCCAGAGATGATTGCTGGTTTCATACCACTCGTGGAAAGTTACAATATTCTTGTGCTTAATTTCATGGGTGAGACGAACCTATAAAAACACACAGTATGCACTCCTTAGGACAAAAAGTTCCTAAAACCTGTGTGGTAGTTACATAATCCAGTGCCAAGTTGAGGGCATTACGAGTGAAGGGGTGGAGTGTGGCCTGTCAATCAAGATATAACCAATGAGGCCTCTGTGTGGGCATGGCCTTCCCCTGAGAATTCTGGGAACTCCTGGATTTTCCTCCTTGGAGGTGGGAGGCACTTTGCTCTCTCTGCTCACTCCCTGAGAGACACTGTACTGACAAGACACATGGTGCTACGCGCTGGGAGCTGGAGAAGCCACATGGACCTACCCTGATGCAACCAGACCTCTGGAGCCGGAGAAGCCACGTAGAGACCCCTGCCAGTGCTGAGATGCTTACAACACCACTGGATCCACAAGACTTCCAACCCACTGGCCTGTCATCCTCCTGTGTTCAGCATCATTGCATGTATTTCGTGAGTCTGAAGAGGACTTTATATTGGACATATGGGCTAATATTGGACTTATGGACTTGAGCTGGACTGGGCTGGGACGTTTTCTCAATATTCCATTGCTCTTGTACATAAACCTCTTTCTTATTCACATTTGAGTCTCTATGAATTTGTTTCTCTAGTCTATCTGGACTAACACACCCCGTATCCATGAATAAACACTGAAATACACAATTGGGAGATGGGTAATAAAATGGTGGTATCCTATGCAGCTCATTTAAAATGCTGATTTTGAAGGCAAATAACATGGAGAAATGCTGATGATGTAATGCATGGTCTTTAAAATGGTCTAAAAACACTTAGGTACGCATGTATCAGTGCAAAAAATATATATAGGAAAATGACTGAAAGGTAAGACACCCTAGTATCTGCACTTATGGGTGGAGCTACTGGGATCATTTTATTTTTGTCTCCATCCTTCAGTTTGGGATACTAAATACACACTGCTTTTATCATCAGGGACAAAGAGATCCAGTCCTTGATTCCTCTTCCTCCCTGAACTGCTCCCTAATCTGCAGGCTCACAGATACAAATATCTTCTTCAGACACCCACCTGGATATCCGATGACAAAAATCAAAGGCTGTCATCTTCAGAAAAGCAGACACCCACCCTTCTCGTTCAGAACATGCAGTGGAGTCGAACTATCGACACACTACACTCCCGGGGCTCCTTTGGATCCCCAAGGAGCACATCAAAATTAAAATGCTCAAGTCCACCACCGTGCCAGGCGGTCTTCCCCCCTTAGTACAGGCATCTCCATCCATCCGCCACCTAAACCCCAGCCTGTGTGTCTTTGGCTTCTCTCACGCTTTATCCCCAGCACATCCGCACACCGGCAAAGAAGCTCTACTTTAAAGAGGTCTCCAAAGAGCCTATCTGTGGGGTGAGAAGCCAGGGTCATGGCGGCCCTCGGAAGTGGGGGGCCGTGGGTGGGAGCTGGTTCCTTGGGCGTGTCCGGTGTTTGAGACTTTGAACACACAACTCTGGTTTGAAGGCCTTCCCACAGGTCAATTTGACTGGACGTTGAGGGGCAGTGACTTCCTGAATGTGGCTCTTGTGGACAAAGTCTCTGAAGCCCCACCCAATGACCGTTCCCGCATGGGTCTGGTATCAACAGCGGTTCTCAACCTGTGGGTCGAGACCCCTTCGGAGGTCGAACGACCCTTTCACAGGGGTTGCCCGATTCCAACCAGTAGCAAAATGACAGTGATGAGGTGGCACCGAAAATAATTGTATGGTTGCGGGGGTGAGTCGCCCCAACATGAGGAACGATATGAAAGGGTCGCGGCATGCGGAAGGTTGAGAACCACTGATCTAAAGCCTTCGGCTCTAGACTGCCTCCCCGGTCACATACATGCTGTTGTTATCGACCACTGGCAGAGCTTGCTCCGGCCTCATGCCCTCTGGATACTGCTCTGGGTTCCCTCCACTCCCCATACCCAAGACACTCACCTGGCTCACTCCCCCACCTCATTCCGGCCTCTCCCACATCTCACCTGCCCAAGGAGCTCCAACAGCAGCGCTCTTTCCTCCTCCAATGCACCCCCACCGCCCCACCGCCCCACCGCCACCACCACCCCATACACACTACAATATTCTGCCTTATTTTTCTTCATTGGGACCAACATGAATGATCTGTATGACGGTAGGTCTCCCCCCACTCAAAGGGAAGCTTCCTGAGGCAGGCAGGGATTTTGTCTCCTTCGAACTAACTCACTCCTCCCTACCTGGGGCAGAGCCAGGAATGGAGCGGCCACTCACTAAGGACCTGTTGAGGAGATGCGCTCATGAAGCAGGGGCTTTGCCCTCAAGGACCTCGGACAGGGACACAGGCGCAGTGCAGGATGATCCCTGCTGTCACAGGCACGTGTCTACATCATGGCAGTTGAGTTAGTTAATTGTGCCAGCCTGGCCGATAATCACATGTGGGTCTGGTTGAAAGGCGGAGGGATAAATGGGTGGTGAAGCCTCGCCTTTCTAGTTCTCGGGTCTCTTGTTTTGTGATGGTTGCATCGGGTGCAGCTGCCTTAGCAGTTCCCTGCTTCAGCTTGCAAGATGGATTTCCTACAAGACATCCCCAAGGAGAAGCCACATGGATCTATCCCGATGCAGCCCTGGGTGCTGGAGCAGCCATGTGGAGACCCCTGCCAGTGCTGAGATGCTTACACGTTCACTGACTCAGCTTTCCTCCTGCAGTCGGCATTATTGCCTCTGTTTTGTGAGGTGAAGGACTTTGTGGACTGGTGTTGGGTATGGGTTAATGTTGGACTTGTGGGCTTGGGCAGCATTGGGTTGGGATGTTTTCGTGATGCACATTTTCTTTGCATAAAACTCTCTCTTATGCGTGAGTTGCTGTGGATGTGTTTCTCCAAAGTACCTAGACTAATACAGCAGTGTTCAAAAGACGTAACTAGTCAACCACAGGCAGGCACGCCAGCCAGAAAGCTTGGGGCCTCTGGCAGGGCCAGGAGTTACCCTTCCAGTTGTTGAGTGGCCCGGGGGTGTGGCCCGGGTTCTCGGGGAACAGGCCAGAGCAGCTGAGGTGGGTACCCAACAGCTGGAAGCACCGAGCATTTACCAGTGTGGCATGAATCCCCTTTTCGAAGGTGAGCCCCGGGCCCAGGTGGCATGGGAGAGCAGAGGGCAATCTCTGGGGGGTTCTGGGGAGAACCTGCAGGCAGGGGGAAAGAAGAGCGGATTCTTGATGGACTCGGGATGAAAACCGTCGTTCCCAGAGCTGACGTGCACTGTGTGGGAGCTCCCCCGGCCGTGAGGAGGGTACTAGGACTTTCTCACTATGAAGACGGGCGAGACGGAGGCTCTCGCTTTACCAAATTTACTCCGCCAGTGAAGCTGAATCTCTGAATGCTGTGCGGGGTGCCCGAGGGCCCAAACACCCCAGGCAACAGCACATCGACCCAGTGACACGCGTGCATTTGTTCTACAGCTTCTGGCCTGTGTCTCAGTCATCCTTGGTGTCACTTCTCACACTCAGCCTGTGGGGTGGCTGTCACGCACACGGTCAAGAAGAGTGTGGGGACGGAAGAATGTCCCTGGATGCAGAAACCATGGTCCTCTGCCTGCCTCGTGCTGATGCCCAGAGCCCAGGGAGCCTCAGCTTTCTCTGAGATTTATGCACCGCCCACAGCAAAGCTGTCTGGAGTGTCTGCCCTGTGAAAGCAGAGACTGACCTGCCGGAGGCCGCTCCTGCCCTTGTGTGTCCGTGGTCTGGGAAGAGAAGCGAGGCGGGGATCCAGGCTTGTCCTCACTGGCCGCTCAAAGGCTTGCCTGCATGCCTGCCCTCTAGGTCTCTAGCTCATGGAAACACTGACATCTCAGACCTTGCAGAAGTGTCAAAATGCCATAGCCACTGTGCTGAGTGTACTCGCTGCTCCCCACTGGGGTCAATATGACCAGTTTGCCTCGCAGTTGGGAGAGATCTGTTGGACCAGAGCACCCATTCCTCCTTGACCGTAAAGGGGGCGGCAGAAGTAGGCTAAGGACCAATGACAGAGTAGGGGGTTCACTTCATTGACCCCCACCTCCTCGCTGCATAGCTGTTGCCACCGTGTTCCCATGGATGTCAAGGTGTTGCCGGGGGCTGACTACGTACATCTCGCCTCTCTTCCCTTCCTGGCTGTCTCTCTCTCTCTTCCCCATGCATTTTGTAGTCCACAAACGACTAGGATACGCTAGGAGCCACCGTAAAAGAGGGTTAACTAAGAGCCAGGCACTGTGCTAAGTGCTTATAGTTCCTTCTTTAGCTCCCACGAGCCTAAAAGGCTGGGCTGTCCCAAGAACCCCAGGCTACGCAGCACAAACGCAAGCTCGTCCTTCCTGCAGAAGGCAAATTCACGTTCACATGCTGAATTTGAGGAAGCAACTGACCTCGTATACAATATTGTTTCCCGCACTCTTCACGAAACAAAACAGAAGAGGCTGACTGCGTGGGAAGGTGCAGTCCTCCGTGTTCAGAACAGAAGGTTGACCACCCTTTCCAGAGGGAGCGTGTGGCGCCTGCTGCAGAGAGCCCACTGGCCTCTGGCGACAGGGCACATGTTCTACCTGAGTACAGCCCTTTCATTCCCTGATGGAAGGGGAAACGCAAACACTGGACTCACCCAATTGGTTATTTCCGGTCTCTTGCACTTCTCAGTACACAGAATAGCTACGAAATTGATGGTTCCCTTTCGCCGCCCTTTATACACCACGGTCTTGCTTCCCCTGCCAATCTCCTCGTAAAGAATGAAGTTTTCCATCTCTGGGCCGCCTGCTCACACACTGGGCTGAGGAAATGACAGCCTACCAGCATCCCCAGCTCCTGGAAAGAAAACCGAACAAAATTGCCATTTATCAATGCCTGCTGGTTGTGCAATCAGCCTAGGATATTTAGTAGCTAAGTTGAAGTAGTCTATAAGTTCGGAAAATTCACCTTCAAGTACTGAACACAAGTCTTTCTTGGTGTAGAAGGATAAAACTATAGGTCAGAATAAGCCAAGGCCTGTCAGTCAAGACCGTTCCACTATCATGCATCACTCGGGGAGTGGACGAGATTTCAGGCAATGGATCACGATACCCTTTTTACTTTGTTACAACGGAAAGCTGGTACAATGGAGAACACACTGTCTCAGCATCCAAGTGGTGGAACAATATCTGCGCCACCTGCACCTCATGACAGAGACAATGTGTGAGAAAATATTTTATAAACAAATATAGATAACACTTCTCTCTGAACCACAGAGGCTGTAAGAGTGGATCCAAATATTGGGTTAACTCCAAGGCTTGATTATGAGCCAAACTTGGAGCTCATGGGTCAAATCCAGCCTACTTTTATCAAGAAAGCTCTATCAGAGCGCAGATAGCCACCGGTCCGTGTATGGACTAAGGGTGCTTTGGGGGTTCTAATGGCAGAGTTGAGTGACTGCTCCACAGATTGTGTGGCCTGAAGAAACCCTACAATATTTAGTATCTGGGTCTTTACAGAAACCTGAATAAGCCTGATAACTCTTGCTCTTAATTTAAAAAGAAGAAAAACTTTAATCGAACATTTCACCCTTCATCTAGAACATAACCAGTAAAACAAATTCATTTTCTTGGCCAATATAAGCCCTTCATTTTCATAAGTAAATGAGGGTTTGGTGTAGTATTTTATCAGAACAGCGTTCATCTTGGAAGGAAAACAGCTGAGTTCATATCATAAGACAAACAGAGCAGGGGAAAGTATTAATTCAGATAAAAACAATCTTTCATAAACTGGTAATTCATTGGGAGGATTGTATATGCCAGCTAGACCTCAAAAGCACACACCTACATTCTATCCAGGATTATGGGCTCCAGAACAAAAGTTTTCAATGACCTGGGGGGTGCCGAGTAATTTATTTTCTTTCTAAAAAGGGGATAGTAGGCCAAATACGTTTGGGAACCTGTGTGTTGCACTGTAAGAAATCATTCCAAGAAATTGTCTGTGTTAGTCTGGGTAGACTAGAGAAACAAATTCATAGAGACACTCATATTTGTATGAGAGCCTTATATACAAGAGCAAATGAATATTGAGAAAACAACCCAGTCCAGATCAAGTCTATAAGTCCGATACCAATCTATAAATTCTTCTTCTCATGAAACACATGAAATGACACCGAATGTAGGACAATCACAGGCCAGTGAGTGAGAAGTCTATTGGATCCAGAGGCAGTGGAAGCATCTCAGCGCTGCTGTGGGTCTCCATGTGGCTCTTCCAGCTCCAGGGCTCTCACTACCATCAGCATACCTCCATGTGTCTTGTCAGTAGAAAGTCTCTAAGGGAGAGCCTGTGTCCGGCCTCCAGCAAACTATTTATCTCCTTAGCAACTCCAAATGAGGTCATCAAGCTGCAACCTGATTGACAGGCTAAACTCCACCCCTTCACTCTTAATCCTCTCAAATTGACAACAGATTATACAACTACCACATGGTCCAAGAGGATTTTCTTGTTATCGGTGACTTATGTTCCTAAATGAAATTTAAAACAAATCGCTTTGAGAAGCAACAAATCCCACAAGGAAGAAACAGACCAACCCCTGTGATCACAAGGTGTCCACAGGATCAGGGATCAGGCATCAGAAAACCCAAAACAAACAACCATTTTGATGCAAACGAGGGGGGTTGGAATGGAGACCCAAAGCCCACCTGTAGACAACTGGACATCCCCTCACAGAAGGGGCACAAGGAAGGGACGAGCCAGCCAGGGTGCAGTATAGCACTGACAAAACACTAACATCCCTCTAGTTCTTTAATGCTTCCTCCCCCTCCATCCCCCACCACCCTCACTATTATGACCCAAGTTCTATCTTACAAATCTGGGCATGTACACTGGTACAGAAAGAGCTCTCAACATACAGAATCGAGGACAGATAAACCCCTTAAGGCCAACAATGAGTAGTGATGCCATGAGGATCGGGGGAAGGTGAGTGGAAAAGGGGGGAAAAGGGGGGAAACCATTGCAATGAGTGACTTACAAAGCCCCCGCCCCCCAACCAAAAGGGGGACGAACAGAAACATAGGTGAAAGGAGACAGATGATGTAAAATATGAAAATAAAAATAACTTATAAATTATCAAGGGTTCACAAGGGTGAGAGGGTCAGAGAGGGAAGGGAAAAAAGAGGAGCTGATACCAAGGGCTCCAGTAGAAAGAAAATGTTTTGGAAATGATGATGGCAACATATGTACAAATATGCTCGATACAACTAATGTATGGGTTGTGATAAGAGCTGTAAGAGCCTCCAATAAAATGATTTAAAAAATAAGGAAAAATTTAAAAAGAGCTGTAACAGCCCCAATAAAATGACTTATTAAAGAAAAGAAGAAGGAAGAAATCCCTTTGAATTAAAACCGTAACCAAGCAGTGAGCCCATGGGTGCTCAAGTTTCCTTTGAGGGTGATGAAAGTGTGCTGGAATCAAACAATGAGGACAGAGGCACAACTTTGTGAGCCGACTAAAAACCCACAAATTAGACATTTTAAAGGGGTGATGGTTGTGGTATATGAATTAGATCTCCATTTTCTTTAAGGACGTAAGAGAATGTCTCATTGAAGTCATTTGAGTACTAAAAGGCCTGGTTTCATATTTCTTTTAATGAAAAAAGGTTTTACTACACACCCAGGACATCCAACAAGTAGCCTTCTTCTCTGTAAAACACATTCATTAGAAAGAACCAATTCTGATTCCTGATCCACCAAAAATGCCCCCTTTAACAGGAGTAATGATGTGTCAAAACCAAAGCCCACCACCATGGACCACATTCCGATTCACAGCAACCCCATACAACAGTGGATAACTGCTCCACAGGGGGTCCTGAAGCCATAAATCTTTACAGGAGCAGCCTGCCTCGTGTTTCTCAGGTAAAGTGCCCAGTGCTTTCCACTGCGGACCTTGTGACTAATCACCCCACACATAACTGACCATGCCTCCGCGGCTCCTTGCACGATTTTGGAGAGGGACTAGAATGTCCAGTCCGGTGTCCAAGGCCATCATCTTTATCGAAGCAGACGGCCACATCTTTTTCTCCCTGGTGGCTGGAAGGGTTCAATCCCTTTGGTTGGTAGCCAAACCCTTTAACCACTGCGCTACCTGGGCTCCTTTGCAGGTTAACAGACAGGAACGGTTTAAAAACTGATGAAGACTAAGTGGTGGGGTTTGGGAATGCACAGGTATGCTAGAAAACTTAGTATAGAAAGAAATAATGACATAGAAATAATGACTTATTTCTCAAAGAAATAATGACTTATAGGAGGAGAGTGGCTACCGTGAGGGGTGGTGACTTGGATGGGTCAACAGTAATGGTTTCTGGGGCTGGCACAGTGCTGTTTGCTGACCTATGTGTCATATGGATTTCCGAGAACGTGCCTTTGTGAGAACTTGTCTTCCGTATTTTTCATCGGGTCGCTATGGGTCAGAGTGAACTTGATAGCAGTGAGGTGTTTTGGTGGTACAGGATCTCACTGTGGGAGATGCATTGGGCTGCAAGTCAAAAGGTCGGCTGTTCAATCCTACCAGCCTCTGAGGGTCTGGGATGAGTCAGTCCGCTCCAGTGGAGATGTTTGGGCTTTGAAACCCTAGACAAGGTCGACAGACACAGAATCCACTAGATGGAAAGGGAATATCGGGTTGCTATGAGTCGGCATCTGCTCAAGGGCTCACTCGTAGCACAGTCTCATCTTTCTCCTGCAGAGTGGCTGGTTGGGTTTGAACTGCCGACCTTCTGGTGGGCTTAATCCACGGGACCACCAGGGCTCCTTCTACTCAAGTCCCAACCGGCTACAAGTTCGCCTGGGAAGCATCCGAGAAGCCAGAATCAAAGCAAACGCACATCGGTGCGAATGAGCCATTTAGGATTCGGGGGACGACAAGTCTTACAGTTAACAAACTGAGCGCCCCACCTTCGCCCAGACTCCCGGGCCAGCGCCATCGGCATCCCCCGGGAAATTCTCCTCCCCGACCTGCGCCGCACAGAACGGAACTCTGGAGGTGCGGCCGGGCGATGGAGATGTCGGCACGCCCCCGGAACGCAGCTGCGCGCCCAATTTTGAGGACAGCTGGCAAGATCGGCCACCAGCGGGGACTCGGCCGGCCGCCCCCCCTTGCGGCATTTGACAGGTGAATTCCCTTCGGGATTTGAGCTGGAGCGGACCCCCGAAAGCGCCGGCTCCGAACCGCTCCGTAAGCCGCCCCCGGGTCCCTCTCTAGCACACTGGCGGCCTTCCGTGCCTCGCAGCGGCCCGCGAGTATGGCTCCCCCTAGGGGGTGGGAGGTAAAACCCCGAGGCTGGGGCGTCCGCAAAGCGTCTCCCAAGCCCGGATCCCCTCCGCACCCAAGTTCTGCAGAGGAACTTCGTGGGCCCTGAACCAGAGCCAAAAAGAAAGTTAGGTGGACGGTTCGATTTGTTGACAGCAAAGTAGGACCATCAGCGAGGCGGGCGGGGGAAAGGGCGCGGGACTACGCGGGGCCCGCACAGGGAGGGGTGCGACGCCCAATAGGTCTACGCTCTCTCCCGCGCCCGCCGAGCGAGACACAAAACCGGATCGTGGCCGCACAAACCGCCACCGACGCGTACCTGGTCGCTCGATGGCTAGAAGATGCGCCTCCGCTCCGCGACTCGGCGGATGCTGGCGCCGCGGCGCCCCCTCCTGAAAGAGTCCACCAGAAAAAGAGCGGGGGACAATATCTAGAACGGACTGAAGCGCGCGGCCGCCGCATCCAGCCGGCCGGCCCCAGCGCCCCCTCTGCGCTTGGACTCGCCCGTCTCGTTTCCAGGGCAGCACGCAGAACGCCGGAAGAAGCGCGCGGCTCTGATTGGCTGAGCGGCGTGTGTTTCTATTGGTGGAGGCCCGGAAGCGCGAACAGTGAGGGAGACTCAACCCTAAAGCGCATACCCTTCCTTACGACAAGCTCACCCGGCTTGGGCATGTAGTGGAGGGAGCCTGGAGGCGCCGCGGCTTGAAGGGCCCAGTACCTCTGTGTTTCGATTTCGATGCGAGACGAGGCGCCG